GGGGCAATGTCAAGATCCTGAGGTACTGCGAAACAACTGGTTGGTTGTAGCAGTGCACATACCTGAGGGTATGCCAATCCTTTATTGAGTTGACCCTTGATAACTGTGGTACTGTTACTAGGGATGACAACACTCTGATGTTCTGCACTCCTAATCAAGGCAAGTTTCCCATGGTTTCTCACTAATTCTTTCTCATGTAATACAATACTTGGGAATGCCAAGTACCAAGGGGTATGCAAATTGGCTTTCTGTAAAAACCTATCTCCATTTTGGTTTTTGCATACTTCAAGAAGATGTGATAACACATTTGTACCTAATAAGGCTGACACCCTACCATTGTATCTGGTATCAGATACCATAAGGAAAAGACAAGGCACAGGGTCCTCGTTAATGCCACCTCCTGAAGTCCTAACTGAGACCTCTATAAACCTGATATTGGAGTTGCTCACCTCCAGCACATTCAATATCTAATAATTCATCAAAAGACTCCAGTGCGATGTGAGAAAGATGTTTCTCATAAAAAGATTGAGAAAGTATTGATACAGTTGCTCCTGTGTCAAGAAGGGCTCGAACAGGAATGTCCTCAATGTAAACTTCGACTTCTTTTGAAGTTCCTACTAGTCCTTGTGGTGGTTGCCTGTGTACGGGGCGTTGACAAGTGCCTAATGGTAACCCCTTCCCACAGGCCCTGGCAAGTTTAAAGGTCGCCTCTGATGATCCAATAAAACACGACAACCATAAGCTAAATGGCCCGGGTACCCACATCTGTAGCAGATAGGTGTGCTTCCCTGAGGCTGTGTGCTTTTCCACTGTGATGAGGTGCATTTACCTGAAGGTTGAGACTGCTGTGAGCTTGGGTACTGATACCGAGGTGCAGCTGCACCTTGTTGGACATCCTGTGACTGTTCTTCACTCCAAGAAGCATGTTGTCCAAACTGTTAACCGTGTCCACGTCTGGGATTTCTGCCTCTTCCTCTCAATGAATAACTCTGGGGCTGCCTGTCTTCATAGCCCTCTATAGTGGGTGGTATAAATGACTGACTCTGGTATACATGAGCGGACATCTCTGTCTGTTGTTCCTTAATCTTTGAAATATCTGCTTTCAAATCCTTCATCATGCCCTTTAGTTCCAGAAAGTCTTGATCTTTCGCAGTTTCAACAGTTGAGGCCATCTTCAGTGTTGCCGACTTGGGTTTGCTCTTGGATGTGTCTTGTTTCCCGTGGTGCAGATCAAATTCCAGTTCTCGAAGGCATAGTCTTAAGTCATCAAAATTGGATATGGCATCATATTTGTATCCAGCTAGACTCTTAAGAGACGAGTGTAAACCATCCCAAAGTCGTGACCTCAGCATCTCATCCTGTTCCTCTCTTGAGATTTGCTTCAGTTCAGTAAGCTGGAACAATAACCTCTCCAACCTACAACTCGATGCTGCCACATCCTCATCATCCCGCTGACTGGTACTGTAGAACTCGGATAGCAAGGATGAACTACTACGTAGTGTTCCAAAGGCGCTCCTTAGTTTTGACAACAAGTCAGCTATAGTTGCTTTGAGACCTCACTTCATAGAAACTAAGGCTGCTTCTCCTTTAAAGGATTTACGAATGGCTTGCAATACTACATCTGGGCTGTATGTATTACTCTCTAGCAGGCAATCCACCTCATATCTCCAAAGGTCATACTCTGTGTCCTTTCCATGTTCTCCACTGAAGAAAGGCAGCCTGGGGAAATGCTGGTATGACACTGATGTCGGATTACTGTGGCTTGTGGGCGGTGGTGATGTATCGCCTGGGTCTTCCATCTTGATAGAAGTGCCTTCTTGCTGCGACATTCCATGTATCCAAGCCTTTAAATCCTCTGGAGTATCATCTTTAGGATGCATCCCCATTTTTCTAAACAATCGAACCATGTTACCCAAGTCCTCTTTACTGAGTTCGATATTGGTTAGAGTAAGTGAAGCCAAAGAAAAACGTGTTTCTAAAAACACAAACCCGAAGGCGAAAAAGAGAAAGGAGATAGTGCAATGTGGCGCCAGCGCTGTTGTAATGTTTGTGACTAAATGACTGTATGGTTGACTATTGAAAAGTCAAATGCACGAGGACAAGAGTAGAGTTATGAAGGAGGCACTAACAGCTGAAAACGAAATGAATGACAACAAAGCAGTCGTGATATACAAACTGAAGCAGCAGGTTCATCTGAGTTCATCACCTGGAAAGAATATGAAAATGTGACAACCAAATTTGTACGAAAGTTCGGTGGAAGATAAGGTTCAATCACGAATCATCAATGAGAGATGAAAACAAACCAATGTTGATTTGCAGTAACGCCGACGACAACACAAGTAGGACACTACTGAATCCACCCGCTTTACCCTGGGGTGCATGGGTATGTGCAATGTGCCGTGAGTGCTGGGTGATGGAACATAGTAAGTCAGTCACACAGTCAATATGAGTTTATTGATAACCTGATTTGGGTATAATTAATGCATAACGCCTAAGAGTAATGCCTACACACTTTATTGATTAAGCAAAGGTTTAAATTCTATTGAAGCTTCATAAAACACAAAGCACACCACTCACACACATCACAATGAAATACCATGCAGCACTAACTGGTGTCTATCAGGGTACATGTGGTCATCACTAATAAATAAACAAGTTCAGCTGACCTTCAGTAAACGACTCAACTAAATAATGGCATAAATAAACCAGAGTTGAAAATACAGAATAATTGTTACAACAGGAATAACACTGCAGTGTAAAGTCAGTTACTAAGTAGGACAGGGAAAACTATTTGAAATTTCACAGAATATTGGATGCATCAACTGAAATGAGATACCTGAATATATGCCGGCAATGGAATACATGCTTGTGTGATGAGGCAAATATACAGCAATTGCTTCTAAGCTAGCTTTGAAATCAGTCAATGATTGAATCAAGTTGATCATATTGTTCAGTTTATAGTTACCACGTATTGACGTGCATATTCAGTCTCTCACTGGATCACTTGGATTGTCAGTTGATCACTGGGCTTGTCACTCACTCCAACATCAGTCTTCAACAGCTCCTCACTGGGGGGCTCCATTGTAATAGCCATCAAAGTGTCTTGTGGAAGTCGCGGTAACACAGGCTAAGGTGTGAGAACTGTTTATTTGCTGGTGACTAACAGATGACAAACTGACACCCTGTAACAAGGAATGAGATAATAAGAGTACAGTTCATCTCACAATCTGACATATAAAAGCAACAATTCTACATAATCATAAGTGATACAGACATCACTACTTTAAATAAGCTTGACATATTGCGGTCGTTGAAGTTACACATGCAATATGGATATGGCATGACATGCATGATGTTATGTTCAATTAATTATACATTACAAATATATATAAACATATGTACCCTGTGAATCCCATGGGGGTGGTGTTGTCCATATTCAAGATAATCTTGTATGAACCTGTCCATGATATAAAACATACCATGAGTTCTGATCTATTTACACATCTAAATATTTCATCTAAACTATTATCAATTCAGTAATAAACAATACAAATTACTGCCAGATAACCAAAACCACACATACAATCAGATATGGTATTTCTTATATACATAAACTCAACATACACACACACACAAAGTGTATGGGACATGTTTAAACATAACATTAATCTGATATAGATATATTTACATGAAGTGATTTATACATTACAATGGCATAAAAAGAACATGATAGTAACTAACCCTTTTAGTTTCTGGTCCTGTGTCTCTCCAAGTGTCCAAGTGCAAGTTGTAAGTGCCAGTGACAAGAATGCATATGTGGAAAACAAAGGGTTTGAAAGTGGGACACCTAATTCAAAATTAGCCAATCATTAAAATACCTGGGCTTATACTTTGATTGCTAGTTGATCTACCCTACACTGCAGTGGACTTACCCAATGAAATTACTTAACAAAAGAAATGAGCTTTAATGATACTAGTTTACTTGCAACTGCTTAAATATCTTATGGAGCCTGAAATAAGAGATTTGATTATTCATATATCAGTGAAGATGACTGGTTCATATATCTGAAATTAATACAATAAATAGTTATTAATTACTGTATTGCCTGAAATATACAACTGACATTATTTTAAACATGTTAAAGTAAAACAGCTAAATGATAAAACATAATCACTATGTACAGACTTAAACTCTACCACAAACATACAAATGCACATGCACACAGATCTTTCCATCCAGATAACAGAATCATTTATCAATGGAAATCTATAGGGAATGGTTTGAAAATTCTCCGTCCGGGTAATATGTTTTCTACACCTGTCCCTATCACCTGAAGAAGGGGGCAAGAAGTAGCCCAGAAACGTCCTGTTATACAATAAAGAAGAGGTTACCATCCATATACTTGTTTTATATGTACATGTGGACTAGCAGCAGTGGTCATGTAGTGACAAGAACAAGATAGTGAGTGCCTTAAGTGCCCACCATTAGTGTCAAGGTCCTGCCTACTGCCTAAAGGAAAGTACAGATAACTCATTTAGAAATCCGGGTTTTACATCAACTTTGTTTCTGATAGTAAGTTTCTTAGAATTTATGTGTGTGGAAATATTTGTCAATATCTTTTTTGCCAACTGCAGTTTACAGTCAAAAGATTAAATTGTTTATGTATGTAGTAGAGTTATAAATATTTATAGTACATTTTTTGAAAAAAATGTTACTTTAGCCATGACTCGAATGAAAAGGTTTTTGTATTTCAAATAATTATTGAGTCAAATATGTAGGAATTTAACATTATGTAAAACCCACTTGGTTGTTGTGTAACCATAACACAACAACACACTATGCTTGTTTGTCTCCATTATATTGCATCACCATTCAACCTTATTGCTGAATTTGTGCAATTTCTGATCCATCCAAATTGAAGTGTACAGACACTAGCAGTACGCCAGAAACTTATAGTTATACTTTTCTGAATAACCAGCGAAGACTTTTGTGTTTTCAGTTAACCTTGAAGATTTTGCCAAAGCCTTCTGTAACATTACAAGAGAAGTTATGAAGGAAAGCAGAGTACCTGAAATCCATCTGATCGAGAAAAATCCAATGGTTATTGCCAAACTCAAGGGAGTGTTTGATTCCCATCTGACCCTGGAATCAGGAGAGGATACCATGGACATAGAGGTGGCTGGAGCTACAGGAGGCGAGGAGTGTTCAATCTGCAAGGACTCCTGCAACGATCCCAAAACCCTGAAGTGTGGGCACAGGTTCTGCAGTGAATGTATCGATCACTACTTCAACAATTACAAGCCTGTGTGTCCAAATTGTGGTGCCATTCATGGACCAGTGTCAGGGAACATGCCAGAAGGCAAAATGTCTGTGACTGTGAATGCTTTCAATCATCTCCTGGGACATCCACATGATGGAACCATTACTATCAGATACAACATACCAGGTGGAATTCAAAAAGTAAGTAACATACATATTTCATTCAAATGGTGAATGCATTTCTGCTGATAGCTCAACAACATGTTTTTTTTCTTTTGTCATTTTTAGTTTGACAGGTTCAACTCTGTAATGAAATAGAAAGTTAGAATGTATGATTGACCTGCCAGAGTATGTTCATCATAACACAATCCTAAATGAAAATGCCCAGAAGCCCAATCTTATCCGTCCCCATTACCGGGACACATGTATGCATATGTCAAAGAAATTTGGTGTAAGCTGGGTTAATATTGATATAATATCAAACTGTTATGAAATGATGCTGTGTGCAGTTTTCTACACTCTATAGAATTGGAAGGATCTTCTCAATTTTTCAGTTTTTATAGCAACCAACAATGCAAGGGTAGTAGTGTACATTCAGAAACTAGGTGGGACCAAGTCCCCATCCCTGTAGATAGAAACATCTTGATTTCTTGCCTTGGCAGACTCATACAACTGCTGGATGGAAATTATTTAGGGACACTTCGCTTAAAAGCCCTGAAATTGCATCTGGGTGGCAGCTACAGACCTTCATCATTATCAGCAGAAGAGATGCTGCTGCTGCATGGCTGCTGATATCTTAGCTCTTAGTTATAAACAGGTTCAAAACTCTCTTCCCAATCTCGCTTACCAGTAGAGTTCACATAATACCTTCACCCAGTTGTTCTTACGAGACTATTTCCAAGGTGTTAACGTTTACTCACAAGGTCCCTTGTTGCTCCCGGGACGATTATTAGATCCTTGGGTTTGTTCCTGTCCCCAAGAATAGAAGTGGAGGAGCATGATAGGATGTGGAAGAATGAGCTTCATTGGCAAGGACCCTTTCAGCAGCTAGTTAAGAGGTGGGACTAGAGTTGCTCGTGATGGGCAGGGACCTTTTAAGCAACAAGCTAAAAGTATTCATTAAGTTTTGAAAACATCACGTTACAAGAAGCTTCACATCCTGACTGACTGACTGACTGAGTTTGGTTTTACGCCGCTTTTAGCAATATTCCAGCAACATCACGGCGGGGGACACCAGAAATGGGCTTCACACATTGTGCCCATGTGGGGATTCAACCCGGTCTTCGGCGTGACGAGCCAACGCTTTAACCATTAGGCTACCCCACCGCCCCTTCACATCCTGAAGTGACATCACAAACAGAATGGCATGTCTCAGGGCTTGAAGTGGGTATGCTAGAAAATATTGTACTCTTTCCTTGGTGAAAAACAGTTAAGTGCAAACTTTTCAGGTCACTCAGGTCAGGTCACTGTACATTCTTATCCAGCATATCCACAAACACACCACACATTAGTTTAACATGCTAATACTTTTATGATTTAGTCAAGAGTCATGATGACTCCTAGATTGGAATGCCTTTGGAGAACCCTTGATTTAGTAATCAGAGATGAATGTTTTTGCTTGCCCATATTCTCTATTTGTAAATGATTCCCAAGAAAGAACAAATGGAAATTTAAAATATCCCCAGGTAATGATGAGTGCTGCTCTTATAACATTTGTAAGTCTGGGAGGGCAGCTTTAGTTTTGACTGTCCTGTGACCTTCACTTCCTTTATCCTAATTGTATCCTTGATTTTATAGTCTGTATTATGGACATACATTTCCTGTGAAACCTACATGATTGTAGAGATGACATTTTAATGAAACTTTATTAGCAATGATGTTCAACTGGCGTTTTTCAACATGCCATTTGATAATGTTGTGGAAACTTGATATGTTACTGGTCAAATCTTAAACTTTTTGATATCATGCATATGAATGTATAACCAATTGCTGTGCTTCGAATAGCTACATTGTGCTTTTTCAGGAAGAACACCCGAACCCAGGCAAACCATACATGGGGGCTTATTGGACTGCCTATCTTCCAGATTCATGGGAAGGGAAAAAAGTTCTTCGCCTGTTGATAGTGGCATTTGACAGACGATTGACATTTACTGTTGGCAGATCTGTCACAACTGGTGCTGAGAATAAAGTTACATGGAATGATATCCACCACAAAACTTCATATTTTGGAAAGTAAGTACTGACTGGTACAGTTCTGCAGTTACTCTTTAGCTTAATAACAAGAAAAGTAGACTTTAAATTTGTATTTATGTATACCCTGAGAAAGTAACATTCTATCATGACGTCAAACAATGCTTTGTTCAGACTGGTTCAGAAGAGGTAAGACTTTCCTTATTGATGCCTCATTTAAAATAGGCACATTTACACAAAGTCTTTGGATTCATTTGACAACTTATTTTTGAAAAAGTATGTAAAGTATGTGTTTTGAACCATTATCTTTAACTGTCCAGGACTATGAATATTTCAATCCCGAACATCAGTAATATTTATGACATGTGTAACTACTTGTGACCCCTTTTTTCAGAATGTTTAAAGATAGGAGACCTTTGTACTTAGGCGTAATTACACGTTCCAAGAGAGCATAATTTACAAAACAGAGATAAAGTAATGGAATGGCAATATGTCTGTTGTGTTTTGAAGTTAGGTTTAGTCCAGAGTATGTACCGTTTATATCAAAATGTTGAAACCTTGCACTGAAGCAAACAATTCCAAATAAAAATACAAGATAAAATGATACTTTGTTGAGGTCATATTCATGGAAAGTTGTGTTGTTTAATTGGAAAGTATGTGAATATTTCGCTGTGAACAAAGATCACTCACATTAACTCACAAAAAAAAGAAAATATAAACAAACAAAAAAAGATTATATGTAAAAAGCAAATTCACTTCAGCAGTTAAATCTGTAAGTATTTGGGTTAACAAGTTGAACTCTTCACAAAGATACCTTCACTGTTGAGTGTCACTTTCATTTCTCTGTTTTGTAGTTTTGGCTACCCTGACCCTGGTTACTTGAAGAGAGTCCAGGAGGAGCTTGCTGCTAAAGGGGTGACTGAAGCAGACATTGACTGGAGCACACCAGTGTGAGGGTTCTATATACCCTTCACAATGATATTTCTGATACCTTTCAGCATGTTTTCAGTACGGAAAGTCAGTTTAACTGCTATGATGTTGCAAGAGTGTTGCCAAAAGCAGCATATATCATATCTTTGTTATTCATAATTCACTCATTCATTTATATGTTTTAGGGCAATTACTACTTTTGACCTAATTCATTCAGCTGCATATTATCTTGTACTACCTTTCAGTTTCATTACTTTATACTATTGATATTACTTGCATAAAAACCTGTACAGATGGGAACGACAAACAAAATTCATATGTAGCTGTGCATGACAAAAGACTGCAGATCAATGAACATGTATTTATTTGTCTCAGTGCTAGACTGACATCAACATAGGTGGACGGATATCCCAGATAACATTTTTTGTAAAGTATGCAGACAGATATCCCAGTGTATCTGATATCCGAAACAGACATGTGTATATACAGGATATCCCACAGTATGTCTAAAACAGTGTAAAGACAGATATCCTACAGTATGTTATTTACATAGCATGTGTTAAGTAGGCAAACAGATATCCCACAGTATGTAATCTAAAAGCATGTGGTATCTGATATCCCACAGTGTGTTAAAACAGACAGACAGATATTCTACAGTATGTTATTTGCAAGCATGTGCAAAGTAGGCAAACAGATATCCTACAGTATGTTATCTGATAGAATGTGTAAAATAGGCAGACAGATATCCCACAGTATGTAATCTAAAAGCATGTGCAAAATAGGCAGACAGATATCCCACAGTATGTTATCTGATAGCATGTGTAAAATAGGCAGACATATATCCCACAGTATGTTATCTGATAGAATGTGTAAAATAGGCAGACATATATCCCACAGTATGTTATCTGATAGCATGTGTAAAATAGGCAGACATATATCCCACAGTATGTTATCTGATAGCATGTGTAAAATAGGCAGACATATATCCCACAGTATGTTATCTGATAGCATGTGTAAACTAGGAAGACATATATCCCACAGTATGTTATCTGATAGCATGTGTAAACTAGGAAGACATATATCCCACAGTATGTTATCTGATAGCATGTGTAAAATAGGCAGACATATATCCCACAGTATGTTATCTGATAGCATGTGTAAAATAGGCAGACATATATCCCACAGTATGTTATCTGATAGCATGTGTAAAATAGGAAGACATATATCCCACAGTATGTTATCTGATAGCATGTGTAAAATAGGCAGACATATATCCCACAGTATGTTATCTGATAGCATGTGTAAAATAGGCAGACATATATCCCACAGTATGTTATCTGATAGCATGTGTAAAATAGGCAGACATATATCCCACAGTATGTTATCTGATAGCATGTGTAAAATAGGCAGACATATATCCCACAGTATGTTATCTGATAGCATGTGTAAAATAGGCAGACATATATCCCACAGTATGTTATCTGATAGAATGTGTAAAATAGGCAGACATATATCCCACAGTATGTTATCTGATACCATGTGTAAAATAGGCAGACATATATCCCACAGTATGTTATCTGATACCATGTGTAAAATAGGCAAGACATATATCCCACAGTATGTTATCTGATAGCATGTGTAAAATAGGCAGACATATATCCCACAGTATGTTATCTGATAGCATGTGTAAAATAGGCAGACATATATCCCACAGTATGTTATCTGATAGCATGTGTAAATGTTATGTTATCTGATAGCATGTGTAAAATAGGCAGACATATATCCCACAGTATGTTATCTGATAGCATGTGTAAAATAGGCAGACAGATATCCCACAGTATGTTATGTGGTATCATGTGTAAAAAGGTCTCGACAAGGTCCATCAAGTGAGTGTCCAAATCAAGATGTCATACTGTTTGTAATTGCCCAGATTATACTGTATATTAAAATGTACTCTTAACTTTACACCATGCCACTTATGTATGATAGTTCAAATATTATACCTTGTAATTAGATGTTATTTAATATATATCCCTAGTATACCCTTGAATTGCATCATTTTATTTATCCATACTTTGATGGATATGGAATTTGGTCGCATCACTGTTAAATGTTCAAATATATTTGTTTCATCTAGGTGACAGATTCAGAAACTAACCTCACTTTGTTGATGTGTATGTGTATACTTTGTGTTTGATGTTCTAATGAAATATAATTCCTGAGTAGCTGTTGTTGTCACGGTTATGTTATATAATACAGCCTTATACAGTATAGAATGTTGCAGATGCCTTATGATAGATATGACTAATACAATACCTTAACAAAGCCATGATGATACCCAAGTACATTGTGTATGTGTATGTTCATATCTTACACCAATAGCACCACTTCCAAAGGCTAGTCTGTGGTATTTAGAGCATCATGTTGCCTATAGTTGGTCATTATACAGCAGTTACTTATTATGGTAATACCAGTTCTTTAAAAAATCTTGATTTTTATTTAGCCTCTTCTTGTTTACCTTTCATAATATGGTTCCAATAATGCTATGAGCATGGTAAAAAAATGCAGAATCTTAGTTTCCCATGCCAGTACTATTTTTTCTTGAGATTTATCAGTTAAATATTTACAAAATGATTTCTATGTCATGTGTAAACATCTCTAACCATTGCTTACTGTATGATGTAGTGCTGAAAGTATCAGTGCATGGAAATTTCGTTTCTTTACTGATAGAATGTCAAGAGTGAGTGAGTTAGATAACCTGCCTTCATCATACACTGGAAACTTTCAGGCTAACAACATCCTCTTGAGACGCATTTTACCCCCTCTCACAAATCTGTACTCCCCTGGTCATCATCAAATCATAGACCACTACTGATATATAGCAGACTAAACTGGATCTATTGGTAAGTTTCAGTTTCCTGACTGACTGATTGTCATGGTAACCTGACTGAGTTGGGTGTTGCTCATGCTCTTATTCTCTAGTTGCCCGGATCACACCAGGTTATTTTCATCCCACTGTATATACTGTTATAGATCTAGAAATTATATATTATATCAGTTTAATTTTCGTTCAGTCTAAATATTCACAAAGACATCTGTTGTTATTCCACGCTTGTATCACACTTTTGTCAGTTGTACATTTTGTGAGATGGAGTGTACAGATTTCCTACATATATTTACAATATATATCTGCTTTATCTACACAATAATCAGTGCCATGGAGATAGCTCTGGTTTGTAGTTTCATGTATTTATGATATGGAACAAGTTATGGCCATCTGAGAGACATGTATATATGCAGTGTTTGTGTGTCTAATTTTCCTGATTGTGTATCCAGGTTTGTGTTTGGGTGTTGTTTATCTTTGTGCATCAATGCGCATAGACAATTGAACAGTAAGTTCATTCAACCAGATGACAAAACTCCAATGTGTAGTGATCATAAATTCAGTGTTTTAGATAATTAGTATTTCATCTTTACTTTTTACTCATTACTGAATTTGGTATGTACAGAAAACTATTCTAGATGCTGAATCTGTGTAACTATTGGAAGACAAACTGATTTCTCTGCATCAGCTAGAAGACATGTATTCCCTATCATTGTTTTTTGTTAGTTCAAATTTGGTTTGTTGTTGTATAGGATAGTTTCATAAGTTGTTGGACTTTTGGCCATACCTACACAAGGTTAATGACTTGACCTACATGAACAAATTGTGTGGACTGAAAGATTAGTTTTCAAGTCATCACCAAAGTCAGACCAACTTTGGTTTGTCCATATGTAATTGAAGATTAAGTAGTATATATTTTGTGCAATGCTTTGTTTGTAAATATTATTTAAAGTGGATAATATTATTGAAAACCTTGTTAACGAAATAATACCTCCTTTTGTGTTATTTTGGATTGTACTTAGATCACATTCTGTTTGTTTTAAACTAATCATTCATTGGTTGTCATCAACAACTGACATTTTATGTATCTTGAAACGTTTGCTTGCCATGTGTGACTGTATGCTCTATTTATTTGTATATAGAGATTGATTCCTAAACTAAGTCTGGTACTGTTTGTCAGTGAAGGAATTGAAATTTGAATAACACCTTCAAAATAAGTCCATGGGATGTTCTAAATAACTCATTGATCAATGTAGTCTGTTTTGATTTCAGATCTATGAGGTGATGAAAGTTACTCACTCAGAGGTGTGTTATGTTTTGCTGTGTCAAAAGACACAAAAATGTGATTCTAGTTATCATCCAAATTTATTCTTCCACATTTTTCAGTGTGAAAACGTAAATAAATGGTATCTTTAATGTGCAAAGCATGATGCTGAAATGTTAGATAGACTGACATTATGGAAGCTTAGGATGTTGCTAGTTTGGAAAGCATGGTAATGCAATTTCATTGTTGTGTTAGTCGAAGCTTGTTTGGATGATAAATAATATTGTTACCATGAACATTATTGTATAAAATATTGTATTGTGTTATATTAGTTTTAATCAAATTACAGATATATTTCATAAGTGGTATCTGGTACATATTTGTAACTGGAGAACTCAAACAGAATACTGTATTTATACAGCAGTAATCAATTTCTAATAGACCTGTGGTTTTTATACAAATTTCATTGTTTATTGTTTATACATGGATATGCATTGGATAGCATTTTGATTATTGTTAGTATTTTAGTTTCTTCAATGCTGAAGACTGCTGAGTAATGGATTTCAGCTTCACTATTCTGTCTGTAAAATTTTGGTATTGGTACTTTTATGTTTTAGCTTGAGGTAAGGGTAGTAGCATCTGAAAAATGAAGAAATAAAAAGTCCACAGGTCAATTCCGTCTTCTTTGAGTGGCATTTTAGAAGCTAGGAAAGACAAACTTTATGTATAACAACTTTCATTTCATGCAGCACTTACAAAAATTTGCCACTGATACCAGAGCTTCTGTCACTTAAAGATTTTGTACTGAAATACTGTATTCAAAACTCTCAGCAATATGTGAGAATGTGATTCAACATTTTCTTAATATAACCCTGTCTTAGTTATGTTGTGTTTTAGAAAAGGCTAATCCAAACTTTTTATGATGATTATGACATCACTTTTGAAACATTATATTGTTTTTGCTTCATATATGTGTGAAAATTCATGTTAACAAATTGAAAAATATTTTCCTGAAAACCACAACCTAAATGTCCCACAAAATGACTCAGCAAGTGGTATACAGGTTTCATTTCAACAATAATAACATATTTTAACTTAATGTATTTCTATTAACCTTGAATTATTAAAGAATTTATCCAAATTTGAAACTGATTTCTCAAACTCAGCATTTGTCACATTTGGTGAAATGCTGATAAAACATGGTTTTCCTTTAGCTTTAATAACATCTTGGTACTATATTTAAAACACATTTAAGCTTGTCACTCGTAAATGAAGTTATTGGGTGGATGTATATGTTTGTGATTCTTTAAGTGGTCCGTAAAATGTGTGTGTCTGTGTTTGCATGTGTACGTGCATAATCTTTAAATGGTCCATAAAGGGTCATATTTAATAATGATTGTTCAAATGATGCTAATATGTATATTTAAAGAGGTAAAGATATTTGTTTGTAAGTAATATTTAAGCACCAATGGACAGCTCACCTTGAGTTTTTGTGTGCATTATTGTTATATATTATCTGATTTGGTCAATAATGAACAGATCAATTTTTCATTCACCTCTAGAAGTCTTTTGAAATAGGAAAGAACCTTAAATGTTCATTACTTTGATGGTTTTTTAGGGCTAAAATCATGTAAAATAAAATCCATAAAAGGTAGAGAATGTGAGATAATGCTACTGGGAATGAATAGGCACAGTTGTGAGAACGAAGGATGACGCAAAACATCTGCAACAAGAATTTTAATAAAACAACTAAATGTTTGTGACAAAACTGTTTTGTAACACTATCAATTGACTCGGTGCTTGATAAGGGGTACCCAGTAACATTTGACAAAAATGTGAAAGCAGAACTATCTGGAAACAAACTGGCAAATTTGGTTTTAACCTCCCTAAGGAGATGAGATTTAGACGAATTGGTCAACTTGAGAACCATTGTGTGCAGATAGCACTATACAATTGTTAGCATTATGGGGAAATATAATATGAAAACCTTTCTTATAGACATGTGTATATCCACTTTTTAACTGCAATTCACTAATATATTCCTTTTATGATATTATAAATAATTATTTTAGTTTTCAGATATATTCTTGTAGTTTTCCCTATAATGTATTTTTACTATATACATTCTTAAAGATTTATCCTTTTCTATTGTGTTTTGGTGGTGTTATGATGATGTAATAATATATTGATGGTAAAGGTTGATATATAATTATGTCCAAATGGCCTTATCCCTCTAGAAATATTATTTTTATGCATAAGATGTTTGATATCTGTCAAATAGTTCTTAAAGTAACCATTTTGAACATAACTTCAGTATAAATTCAATAGTTTTGTAAAATTTCTGTATGTATTGATCACAGAGGGATGAAGTGATTTAAGGCATGATATTCTGACATTTCGATTTTTCTTTCTTTTTGCTGTTTGCTTAAGATATAACCAAGTTTGGAAAGTGTCAACCTCACATTTGTTGAACATGCTTACCAGGAAGGATACACTCCTGGTACATGCTATCTGTCAAGAGGTCTTTCATTACAATACTGATGTACTCCTAAGAGACTTATGTCATTATGACTCACCTGAGAAAGTTTACGTTTTGTAAGGTTGTTACATTTTCCGCTGCATAGTTTAAATAAATTTGAAGAAAAAGACACTAACTTGTTTGTTATTCATGTATACTCGGCGTCATTAATGAAGGTCAAGCTATTGGTAACACTATTTCTTAAATTTGTAAAATCTTCGTTTTTGTTTGAAATATATACAACTGAATGTTTTACAAACTTTCTTAACAGCATGGAAAAAACACATCAGGCCGTTGAAATGTCATTATTACGTTCTTTAATGTCCAATACATTCTGTTACAAATGGCAGATTTTTTATTCAAATTGTCAAAATGGAAATCCACCTGCCATTTAATGTCAATGATTTGCACGTGCAAGTCACTCTATCAATGGAAGGTGGAGGACAATACACATGCATTGATGCTTTTTCACTGTCGTTCACTGTTCAGCTACCTTTTTTGAAATCGCAGCTTAAAATGAGACGTTTTTTGACACTTGCTGAAAGGAGTCAGGCCTTTTGGAATCTGGTCAGACTTGGCGGCAGGTTGCTGTCCGCTTTAATGTGAGTCAGAGTGGGTCCGTTGAATATGCACGTCGAACATTTTGCCCGGGAGTCACAAAAGTCTGAGAAGATAGGCACATGAATAACACTGCGTTACGTAACAGATTCCTTAACGCAGCAGATACTCAGAAAGAACACTTTAATGTTAACAGTGTGAAGATACCCAGGAGCACCGTTCGTCGACGTTTAAGGGCAGCATGGCTTTTATGGTCGTCCCTCTTTACTGCAAGACGACAACGCCAGGTCCCATAGGGCCAGGACTGTCATGGAATTCCTTAGGCAGCAGGATGAGTGGCCAGCATCCTCGGCAGACCTCAACCCAATTGAGCATGCCTGGGATGAACTCGGTCGACGTGTGTACACGCGTCACCCACCTTCAGTGGATCTCCCAGGATCCGCAGAACTCTTGTAGAGGAATGGAATGCGATTCTGCAAGGTTTCTTTATGAACTTGATAAGGACCACGAGAGCAAGGTGCACCTGTGTCTTGTTTGTCATTTTAATTTTGATTGGTTGATCTACGCTACTGATGTTTGGTAGTGCTGTTTGAACGTTTTGTCTGTATGTCAAGATGTGTCACATTTGTCAACACATTAAACATTATGATGATACTCTTAGTTCTATTATTTCTGAGAAACTTTTCTTTACATTGCTACATATCATTAGACCCTTTATTACAGACACCTAGTATGTGTAAAATAACACGAGTTTTCAAATATAGTATAGTTCGAGGAGTGATCATTTGATATTTGGGAGTGGTTCTGCTTATTCTTCCAATGTCATTTGTCACGTTTTGTTGCTTACAAGGTGTACTGTATCCTTTTGCTCAGATGGCAAATGACCTTGTTTAGCAACTACATTAGCTGAAACTTGAGAATCGTTTATCGTAGGACCAGCATGGTCAGCAATACCATCAAAATATACAGTCTCATTGGATCACTATATGATACAACATCTACAGGAGAACCATGGCAAGACACTGAGTTAGTACTTTGTCATTGTCATACTTCCCAATCATATTTACATGACATATTTAGTATCTCTGATATTCCTATCAGTAACATATGGACCATGGTACGTAATGACCAAAACTCTTCAAACTGTATCGGTGGGACTGAAATTTCACTTTTTGAGTCTGTTGCTATAACATCCTTCATTTTGTCCTGAGACAGCATTATCACAAGTTTAAGGAAACCAAGCTAAACACTGTTATCATGTTCTTAAGAGTCTGAAGGAACTTCTCTAAGGCTTCCTACGATTCAGGACGATATATGCAAGACTTCACCTGAGTTATGCCAAATTGAGTGGGAGAACACTTGATACTAAATTAAAGATCTGATTCTACTGAACCGCACACAGTGAAGAGCTTTAACAAAGCCTTGATAATAACCTGTACAACAATATTTCATTAAGCAATGGTCTCTAGAAACCTTAGTGAAGCACACATGTAGTACGCATGTACTGATTACCTGACCTAGTTTTAGGCAAAGGACCAATGCAATCAACGATCGCTCTGCTCAAAGGTTCTGCAAAAGTTGGGATAGGTTTCAAAGGTGCAGCTCGAGATTTCTGATTTTAGATTTGCCAACGTTTTAACAATGACAAATTGTATTCAGCCACATTATGTCATGTACATGTATAAGGAATGGCATAGGCGTTTTCTCATTACCTGCCAAAGACGTTTGATGTGCCATACTCGAAAGATATTTTCAATGTGAATTTGGAATAGTGAGTGAGTTTACTTTTACACCGCGTTTAGCAATATTCCAGCAATATCACGACGAGGGACACAAGAAATCGGCTTTAGACACTGTGCCTATGTGAGGAATCGAGCAAAGCCCTCAACCACTAGGCTACCTCACCATACGTCCCGAATTTGGAAGAACATTTTGGTGAACCTTTCATTCATTATATTGGGCGGTGGGGTAGCCTAGTGGTTAAAGCGTTGGCTCGTCACGCCGAAGGCCCGGGTTCGATTCCCCACATGGGTACAATTTGTGAAGCCCATTTCTGGTGTCCCCTGCCGTGATATTGCTGGAATATTGCTGAAACGGCGTAAAACCATACTCAGTCAGTCAGTCAGTCCATTCATTATCGGTAGAGACATCTGGCAATCTCCATTTCTTCACTAAAATGTTATTCCTAAAATAATAGCTACATCCTTGTCAGCTTGTTATGAAGAGAGTGCCCAGTAAGCAAGCAAATTGAGTTCTGGGTAATCTCCCTGTACTTTAACCAACTGCTCCTTACCCAGAACTGGTTCAGCAACATCCAACTTGTCAGTATTTTGAGTACCCTCCCAAGATTGATATAAGTGCCAGTCAGATCGTAATCGGAATCATTCTCAGAAGCGAAATGCTCGTCCCCAGCACGAGTCACAACACGAAAGAAACAACATATCTGGAATCCTTTGAAAAAGATTTTCAGTACTTTCCCAAGTGAGGATCATGAAAAACCACGGGATCTTTCTTGCAAATGATTTTACTATAAAATGATCAAACAATCTATCCACAAAGAACAGTTTTTGTCTTTGTTAAACGTAAGAAAATTCCGCTGTTCATCTCATGATCTACTTATAGATCATTATCTGGTAGGTAGGTACTTATAGAATCTGGTAGGTAGTTAGGTTAATAAAAGAACAAAGGTTATGTGACATGTGTAATCTGAATGTAATTGAAGACGAGTACGATTTGCTTGGTACATATGTCCAGCCTATTATATGTTGAGAAATAGTTATATTCAGAGCTACTACTTTGTACATCCTGGCATTTACAAATTCATATCCCATTTAACAAATTGTTGTAAAGTACATTTAGAAAGATTATCTTTTGCATCTTTACGCTAAAAGATGCAATTTAGTACAAGTACACACTGTTTTCAATGAATTATAGTGCCAAATAACAGCAAACTTTGATATTGACCCGTCTACAGTATTACAGCTTAAAATAAAGCAACCAAAAACGCTTTCATAAATATAAGAAATGTCTGCTGGAAGCGCAGTCTCTTTATTATTTCGATTATATTATAAGTACCAAATGGTGATGATGTCAGACGTTCGACCGCGCCCATACACCTGGAATATTGCTGAATGTGGAGTAAAACTAAACTCACTCACTCAGACGTTCGTGAAAGGCAAGTGCATCTTCCCCTAAGGGTGGAGCCCATCACAAACACATGCAATGGCTAATCAATTGTTAACATTAAATATGTTGTATAACAATTGAGTGAATTGTATGTCACATCCTCTTAGTCACGGATGCCTAAATTTGGAAATGTACTCCATCTTATTAAGTGTGTTTTCAGTCGTATGACCTTTTTTGAAATCGAAGTAGAAGGAGCATGTTCGATTGTATATGAAACTTTGTGAAATGTAGACACCAAAGGCTTTAACATCTGAAATAGTGCTATAGACTAACGGAACTTTAACGCCATCCCTTTCGTCATTCAGTCTTGTGGTGAATCTTTTTGTGAGTCTGAATCTTTATGCATAAATCTAAATGTGAAAGAGACGAGGAGCTTTCACTTGTCTCAGGGTAAGTGGAAGTGACAATCGGATAATTGTTGAATGATATCAGGTAATGAAGATAACTGAAGCTTAGCTAAGCTTCTTCGTCAACTTCCTTTGTTTTGACTTTGCCAGTTCCTTTAAGTTGATCATCAAGAAGTATAGCACAATTGCTGCACAGTTGATTGCCTGCTTTTCGTCTACATAACTCCTGAATTTAACATAGAGGCGGTCAGGATTTCATATGTTGTTTCTTCTGTACTTTTCAGATGACATCAGCTGTTGGTTTGTTTCAGTTATTCAGGACCTTGAAAACAGAGATATAACTTTATCTTTTCCGGTCACAATTAGTGACAAAGGTCCCATATATCCCAGAAAAGAAGTTTATCTTTGGGCTGTATTGTTCACATGGGGAATGTTCTAAATGGGTGCGTTTTCATATCTCAGAAGGGGTACAGTGCTAAGAGATATTTAGGGGAGGAGGAATAAGGAACATGATTTGATTTAACAAGCTATTAAGTACAGTGTTTTGAGTCATTGAGAAACGATCCTATCTGGATCTCTGTGCCAAGCTGTATGTCAAAAGGACTCAATATATATTACGTTATACTATATGAATAGCACTGACTCTAGTGGATCGTTTGGTCTACCTTGCTAATGCTGTGCTTAAATAAAATTCGCATTAAAATGTCAGTATCATTACTTTTCAGATTCATGCATGGTAATCACACGAGCACGCATTTTATCCACGATGACCCTGACATTGTAGGTTGATTCCTAGTTGGAACTAAAACTGTTACCGGGAATCAATCAATAAAAGAAAGTATGTGTGGCAACAACACACAACTGGAAAGATAGGCTGTAATTAACCACTGTTTTCTAAATGAACTAGGTTCACAAATCAGTACAAAATAGAGACCCAATCTGAGGCAGTATATACAAGATCAGTGATTATAGCAATAAAGACATTGATGGTAATAGTCACCTCTCGGCTCAGTACTCTGACTTGTAACTATAGGCCTTGGCAGGGTATTTGATCATCACACACAGTGCTGGTCTTCTGGTTACTTGAGGTGTAATAGGTGTAGTGAGAGAGTTCAGTTTTACGCTGTATATTCCAGCTGTATGGCGGCTGTCTGTAAATAATCGAGTCTGGACTAGACAATCCAGTGATCAACACCATGTGCATCGATCTACGCAATTGGGATACGATGGCATGTGTCAATCAAGTCGGCGAGCCTGACCACCCGATCCCGTTAGTCGCCTCTTACTACAAGCGTGGGTTACTGAAGATCAATTCTAGCCCGGATCTTCATTGGTCTGTAATAGG